AAAGTTACGCTGAAGGATGGGCTGATCCGCCAACACCTCTGGGTTTTCAGCTCAAGTCTGGCTGCTTTATGACGACTTCCACCTAATTAAAGAGAACACAGCGTGGACCACGTAGGGCAGCGTGGCGACGTAGGAGAACACCTGGAACCCAGAGAGAGCCCCATTAGTGTTGGGGGTGGGGGGCAGGCAGGGAGGCCCACRGGTCCACGCTGCCTGGAGCACCGCATGGTCCTGGGGCTGCCACTGTCCGTCACTCACGCACACACCCTTTCCTGGGGAGCCCAGGTGCATCCCTAATCCTCTCCCCACACAGCCCCAGGGGACCTGACTCAAGATCCCTGGGTCCTAGAACGCAAGATGAAACTACCAACTTCACCCAAAGTCCAGGTGTGGTCAGCTGACTTGAAATGGGAACACTGAGGGCCCCTGCAAGGAAAGCATCCAGGCAGGTGTCAATGACTCAGTGGAAACTGCCCCCCTCCCCCTCACAGGCACCAGCAAGACAGCGGCCACCAGCAATGGTGGTGGCTGAGCTATGAGATCTGAGACATGGGCCTGCTGGCCCTCGCTGGGGTCTCCAAGCTCCTGGACATCCCGACACCCTATTGGACTCTTATCCTGGGATCCATCATTGCCCAGGCAAGGGTGAAGGCCAGGGTCCATGGGAAGTGCGGGTCAGGGAAGGTAAGGAGGATGTCTAGCTTTTGTCAAAAAGAAAGGGCTCCCTAAGAAAGCTGTGGCAATTGCTTACAATGAATCAAAATGCATTCTGCTGCCATATATACCTGATTTAAATGACTTAATTAATCAATTAAAAATAATAAGGCTGTGAGAGGATGCACTGGGAACAACGGCCCTGGGGTGGTGGCAATGGTCACTGGTGACTTGCATGTCACTTGGGCACTGCCTGCTCCTGTCACCCTCCTTCCTAAGGCTCACCTGCCCCCAAATTCAATCTCTGCGCCTGTTTTTTTGACCTTGGGCAGGGGCCAAGAGTTTCCAGCCCAAGCACAACACTTAGGGTGGCCACGCTTCTGTGACTCTTGAAAAATGCCATAAACAGCAGCCATCAGGGTGCCCGCTCTCACCCTACCCCCACGCTTGGGCAAGCTCTCCCCCMACCCAGGCCAGAGGCGATGAGTAAGCCGAGTTACTTAATAACAAGCCTAAGAGAATTCATCTCGGCACTCCTGGGTCTGAAGGGCGCGGTCACACCCAAGTGAGCAGCCCCGAACCCCCCTGTGCCCATCCGGTGGCACTCCCAGGCCATAGAGGCCCTTTGGCACAAGCCCAGCAGAAGTCCCCACTGTAACAGGAAATAGAAACTGTTTTGCAAATGGGGTGAAGAATGGCACGCTGAGGGCGGTTAGAGCCGGGACATGCAGGGATGGGTTCTGGCTTCAGATACCCTGCCATTAGAAGAAACCTCCAGATTTCTCTAGAAATCTCCGGGTCTCTGCAGGCAGCTTCCACCAATCCTGTTGGGCAAGGAGGTTCTGCCACCACCAAACAAGATGGGGAAGAAGCTCAGGTTCTGAGACATGTCCCAACCAGGAACCACACAGAAGCCTCAAGACAGGCCAGAAGCCTTCAAAGTGAGAGAGGCTTGGAGACCCCTCCCCAGGCCCCCATATGCCCTGCAATGGCCACCCCAAGACCACCTGAGGGGCATGCTATGGCTGGGAGGGATCTGGGGTTAAATCCTGAGGAACGATGACTCCCTCTGCCCCATGTCCTGATCCAGTGGATGTTTTTGGTGGATCTCATGACTGCATGGAACCTGGTTTGCATTTACCTTCATGATTTTGGTTCAGTGCATCTGCCTGCTGAGAACATTTGGATCTTGATTCTAGCACTCTTGACTTTACCTGGGCATGACTATCCCACTCCACTAACAAAATGTGGGGACATAAGCAAACGTGGAATGGAGAAATGTCACTAAATACTAAATATTTATACTAAATACTAAACTGCAGTGAAAATAAACGATACACATCTATACTATACCACAAGATGAATCTCACAAGTACCAGGTTGAGAGAAAGAAGCCAGTCATAAAAGAATGGACCTGGTGTAACCCTACTCAAGTGAAGTTCAAAGGCAGGCAAAACTGAATTGGGTGCTAGAAATCAGAACCTGACAGGTGGCAGAGTTGCACAGTGGTAGTGGTAGGACAAGAGGGGTATTTCTGGAAACTATTTACTGAGTCCTATTTCTCCATCTGGACGCTAGCTGCACAGGGAATCTCACTTTCTGAAAATTCAGGCTGTACACTTGTGGCCTGTGCACTTCTCTGAGTGTACRCTGCCTTTCAATGAAAAGGAAAAGTCACAATACAGCACAATCCACTAGAGCCCAGTGATTCTCAACTGGAGACCTGTCCCAGCACTTATCCGCCTCACCTGGACTTTTCCATCAAGCATAGACCCACCAACCATAATCCATCTATGTTTTGCTACCACAGTCTGCAACAATTTTATGGGAACTGCCAAATGCTTTGCTRATGTCTGTTGAGAGAGCGGCTTCTGGGATTGGATAGGGAGAGGAAGAGGTGCCCCCTAGACAGAGAGAAGAATCGGAGTGGTCCGAGGGATGATGGTGGAGATGGAGGACCAGCGTTTCAGGGAGGGAAGAGCAACCAGGCTCCTGGCTGGCTGTGCTACTGCTTAGAAACTGGCCATGTGGGGAGACGTCCTCACACTGAGGGACACTTCAGGGGGTGTCAGGGACCCCGAGGTGGCCATGATTAGGGAAGTGGCTGTAAGCTGGCAGATTATTGGGAGAAAGGGTCTGGCCCACAGGGATGAGGCTCTGAGGGACTTTTTCACCAGATCCCATCCCAAAGCTGGCCACTGCCCATCCCCATGGGCTGCTCTCTGCCTCTGCCCTGCCCCTTCCTAAAGGAGGAAGAGCCCGTCTGGCCACCGGAGCAGCTATCTGTGGGCTACTACCATATTTCGCACCAGGATCTGCATGACGTAGGTTGACTTCTAGAAATCTGAGGAGCTCTTTCTCAGAACCCGTTCTGGTTTTGCACTGTACCCAGTTAGAAATCCACCGTCAGCCAGAGCGAGTTCATGGGTCCAGGCGCACCCCTGGGCAGCCCTGGAAAAAGCTTCTGTGAAACATCCTTTCTCCCTGCCCTTCCCACCCATCCCATTAAAAGAAAATCTGTCCCTGACCTTAGTGTCCCTGTCCCTGAATGTCTGCTTCAGTGGACAACCCTCGGGAGGGCCAGGGTCAGAAGGCCCAAGTGTCCAGACACACTGCTCCAAACTGGTGCCAAGGTCATGAGTGGCACAGCACCTGGCCACAGAGAACACAGGTTCACTCTGCCCTGCATCGGTACCCAGGTCATGGGGTTTTGAGAGGGTTAAATAAGATGGTGCAGGATCCATCAGACACTGGGGGCGCTCAGACGCCTGCACTCCAGACCTGGCCACCAGGGTGCCTTGGGCTTAGCACTCCCTTCTCAGKGCACCTTCGCAGCACAGCCTCCGCTGCACCTAGGTGGCAGCACAGCAAGAGCTGTTTGTGCGCATGCGCCTGCTGGCAGGCGGGACTCACCACGGCCGCGATGTTCTCGCGGTAGTGCTTGTAGATGAAGCCGTCCTGCATGGAGATGGTGGCCAGGGCTTCCAGGACGGAGGCGCTGAGGTAGAACAGGGCAGCGACGCACTGGTAGGCCGCGTCCTGGGAGTCAGAAGGGGCAGGCATCAGAGGGATGGGAGGGAAAGAGTCCAGGACACAGCGCCTCTCCCCACTTGTCCCCATCTGGCCTGGCTCAGGTCCCTTGCAATCCGCGGCTGCTTCCTCTGACTCCCACCCGCCAGTCCCCAGCCTGTCTCCTCACAGAGGTGGTGTGACCAGTGCAGCCCAGGGGAGCTGAAGTCCCTCATCTTGGGGACCCAGAAAGCACTGAGATGAAGGGTCCCTGCTTGCCCTGCAGGTGGCTCCAGCAGGAGGTGGGGACAGCTTGGAGTCTAATAGGTGGAAGCTGGCTCAGGGCCTGAGATGTGCATAGTGGTCACAGACCTGGCTCCAACACGGCCTCCTTGACCAGTGAGAGGACAAGGCCATTTCCATTGTTCTGTTTTTTTCCATTTTGTTGGGTTTATTTATTTGTGGGGTTTTTTTTTTTTCTGTTCCTGGCATATTTCAAAGCAAAAGAGTTGAAACGCTGCTGTTTTTAGTTGTAATTTAGCAGAGATTTCAAGAGTCCAAGCAGGAGGCCTCTTGAGAGTGGGCGCCTGGGCCCTCTCTAGTGGGCAGGTATCCCGTATGAGGGTGCTGCTGGTCTCCAGGGCCTCACAGTGGATTTTACACAGAAGAAAGGCCACATGCCATTTGTGTTCCCAGATCCTTTCTGTCAGCCCTGTGTAGAAGCCAGTGGCAGGGGAGCCCTGCAGCACGCGTGGCCTGGCCACTGGGGAGCCRTGGCAGGGGCCAGCCTCCGGGACCCTGTTCCCCAAGGTGAAGGCAGCCCTCCTGGTAACAGAGGTGCAGGTGGATGGGGAGGGGTGGGGCCGTGGTTATGGGTGAACAGTGGTCACGGGAGAGGAAGCTGAGCAGCCCAAGAGGACACCGACCAGCAGCACAGACATCGACCTCTGCTTCCACCTCAAGCCTCCTAGCTGCGGGAGCCCTGGCTGCTGGCTGAGGCTGGGCCAGCTTGGCCTTGGAATGTGCCAGGAGATGTCTCCAGGGCAGCCCCACCATGTCCCAAGAAGCCAGTTTCCCAGGGCAAAGGCCCAACTCTCCCGCCTCCCACCAAARCCCTTGGCTGGCACTCACCAGGGTGATCCAGGACGTCTCCCCGCCRTGGGCGCCAATGATGTACAGGACAAGCAGGGCAGTGGTGGCCACAAAGCAGAACACAGACACAAACATCACCCAGCCCTGGATCAGGGGTATGGGCACCAGGGAGGACGCGATCAGGATCCATACCAGGCCCCCGAAGATCTGCAGAGAGGAGCAGGAGTGGGGTCAGACCAGAGAGGTACACAGCCCCCAGGGCACAGCCGCAGGGGGGCTCTGGGGGTGCAGAAACACAGGAAGGAGGCCAAGACAACTGGGTGGGCATACTCCTTGCCAAAAAATGACCCTTTCATCCCCCAAAGTCCTGGACTAGGTCTCCAACCTCAGTCTTTTCAATCACCCTCAATATCGCTTTCCTTTATTTTTTTTAAATACAGTTTAATTTTTTTTTTTTTTTTTAGTAGTAAGCCTTATATCACTCTAACATGCCTGGCATCGTCAGACGCACTTGACAAATATTAGCTCAGTTAGCTCTCACAACAACACTGGTGGAGGAAGACCCATGTAGAGAGGACATGGACATAATTTGTCATTTCTAAAAAGAACTTAACATCATTCAGCACTGTCACGAGAAGGCTGTCCTGAGAGTCTATCCTCACTTACATGGCTATGAAAATGTCCTTTCTTTTATGAAATACTTACAATCAGTCGATTCTTCTGATCTTGGCAAAGCAAATCAGCTRCACTATGTTACTGGGTTTTGTTGTAGTTGTTGTTTTGTTTTGTTTTAAGATTTGACCCCTTCCACCTCCAAGTTCAGGAAGTGCTCTGTTGGAGCTGRGGTTGGCATGGAGAGGGTCCAGGTCAGTCCTGTCTCCTTGGATGGCCAAGGACAGGTGTGAAGGCTGCACACACTGGGGTTAGCCAGGGGGCACCCCAGCTGATGTCCCCAGGGTCGGTGAGCTGTTTTCAGAAGGGAGCATGGGGACGGAGCAGAGGCCCTAACATCCTCAGTGACCCCACGCGGGGGCTGCCTCTACCTCTCCTTGATCCTCTTTACCCCAGTGGCCATCAGCCCAGCCTCATCYGCCTGACTCCCTCCAGGTGAGGCCTGGACTAGGACACGGGAGGAGGTAGCTCTGGAGGTGGAGGTCTCCAAGGACCTGCGGAGTGTGGCACGGTCTGAGCACCCGGGCTGAGTTCCCAGTCCTCCATCCCCCGCAGTGACAACCCACATGGTGCCTTGACCCCATCTTGTGGACCTGCTGCCCACCWGCTAGGTAAGAGGTACCACCGTCTCCACAGTGTCCTCCGAGCCTCTTGACTGGGGATCATCAGGGACAGTCACATTGGGTAGAAAAATCAGTGCAATAAAGTATCTGGGTTCATCAACACGAAGTTGTTCTGAATGAACCAGATGTGGGCGTCCCCCTCCCTGATGACACGCAGCAGGGCCAGTGGCACACACTGGACACCCTAAAAAATGAAAGTCCACTGGGCATGGTGGCACATGCTAGTAATCCCAGTGGCTCGGGAGGCTGAGGCAGGAGGATCATGATGAATTCAGAGCCATCCTCAGCAGTGGCGAGGTGCTAAGCAACTCAGTGAGACCTGTCTCTAAATAAAAATACAAACAGGGCTGGGATGGGGCTCAGGGGTCGAGTGCCTCTGGGTTCAACCCTGGTAACTCCCCACAAAAAACTGAGAATCCTCCAACCACCTGGGAGAGGGTGTGTGCAGATTTCTTATCGTTGTGTTGAAGATCGACCAGATGACTTAACCTCTTCCTCAAAGGCACTGACCCAGGGACATGAGCAGGTCAATGGCTGTGCAGGACAGGGATGAGGAGGAGAGGGAGGAAGGCATGGAGGAAGGAGAGTTGGTCAGGCATGTCCAGCTAGTGGGCAGAGAGAGGCATCAGCCTGGGACCCCCTCTAGGTCTGGTCACCTGTGCCCATCTGAGGAGCTGGATCTAAGGTTCCTTGTCCATATGCTCCCGGGGGGTCCTGCACATCTCCTCGGGCCTCAGCTTGAGCAGAAGTGTACCTGGTTGGTGGTGACATGGCCCTTTCCCCAACCAGGGGATGGTTGCATGTAGCATGTAGCTGCTGACTCCTGGGGGCCCTAGGAGAACCACTGGCTATTCATCCTGGGTTAATGGACCTCGGTGTTCTGGTGAGTGGTCACAGCTAGACTCAAGTGCCTCAAGAACTATAACCCCCGAAGGAGCACCTTGGGTCACCCATGGTGGGTGAGCACTCCTTTATAGGCCTGTGGGACCCTTGGGACTGAGGTGCTCGTGGTGGCCAGTGGACTTAGCATTGAGGAACACTGTTGCTCTCTGGGAGTTTTCTGATTCACGTAAGAAGGGCGCAGCGTGGAGCTSGGTGCCTGGGCTTCCCCTGAAGCACCGGCAGGCAAAGATGAATTGGATCGTGGCTTGTTTTTATGTTTATGGTGGCAATATTGTAATTGTGGCTGAATCAACTATAAAATACGTTCAAGGTCACTTGGCACCCAGGTGACACCTGGAAACGGCACAGTCGGAAAGGGCACTCAGCTCCTGGTCTGCAGAGTCATTTCAATTCACCTCTTACAACCAGATTCTTCCCTGTGTGGCCTGAGGTAGGAATGGTGGTCGGCAGTCAAGGGCAGGACAAATGACTGGAGATCAGAGCGGGGGCCCTGCTCCACATGCTCACCAAGGTCTCACACATGCTGGTCACCAGCTCTGGCTCTGAGCTTCCAGCAGCCACACAGAAGGAACCAGACTGTGGGGATGGAGCCAGACCTGCCTTGGGTCTGGTCTGCTTCCCAGCCTGACGAAGGCAATGTCCCAGCTTCCTGGGGAATGCACCGTCCCTATCACTCCATCCATATCTCTCTCTCTCTCTCTCTCTCTCTCTCTCTCTTGCCCACGGATGCAGGATCCTGGAGTCCATGGTCTGATCCTCTGTCCACAGCTGTCCATAGACCAAAGCCCAGATTGGGCTCAGCCCCTGGGCAGACCACAGGACTCTGCCCTACCTCATTTAACAAATGGCCCTTAATAGATTGGGTTTTTCCTTTGCATGGTTTATCTATAGTAGGTTTCATTGTAGGAGTATGAAAGAAAGTCTCTCTCTTTTTTTTTTTTGAGGGGGGTACTGGGGATTGAACTTGGGGGCACTCGACCACAGAGCCACATCCCCAGCCCTATTTTGTATTTTATTTGGAGACAGGGCCTCATGGAGTTGATTAACACCTCACTTTTGTTGAGGCTGGCTTTGAACAATTGATCCTCTTGCCTCAGCCTCCCGAGCTGCTGGGATTACAGGCAGGTGCCACCACGCCTGGCAAAAGTTGCTTTCTTTAGATAGCTTTAAAGAGACGCGTTTTGCATACGGCAGGGTCCACCCATTACAGGTGTCCAGGTCAGTGGGCTTCACACAGCCAGATACACGCAGCCTGGGCTGCCCTGTGTCTCCCTAAGCAGCTACTAATCTACCTTCTGTCTACAGAGTTCACTATTCTGAACTTTTTGCACGAGTGGAATCACAGGGGAACATTTTGCAGGTCATCCTTTGTGCCCTTCACTGCCCTGGCTAGAAGTTGCCCAGGGTATGGACAGCTGGCCAGCCACTGCCACAGGGTGGAGGCTCAGGGGCCATTGGGGTGAGGGCAGAACAGCCAGAGGGGAGTAGCAGGAGGAAGGCAGCAGGTGAAGCAGGGCCCAGGAGAGGCCTCGTGCCCTTCTTCATCCCTCTGCTTGTGACAGAGATGAGTCCTGTCCATCTTAGCCCTGGACTAGTCCCCTTCCCCTGAGCAGAGCCCTTTGCTGCTCTTCCCTCTGTGCGGGTCCCCTGCAGAAGTTCTTTGGCAGCGGCCACAGCTGTGGTGAGCAAAGGCTCCTCCCTCTGCTATGGCCCCGGGGCCTCCGCATCCCACAGGGTCCACTGGACCTGCGAGGGGCTCCGCAGGAGCAGGAGGCTGTGGCAAGTGGCCCAGCCTCCACTTTCTCTGCCACCAGGCAAGTGGCAGAAGTCTTCCCACGGTGTGGACTGATGTGAACTGGCTGAAACAGTGGACGTGAGTGTGAAACGTCTAGCACTGTGCCCAGCACCACCCAATAACTGGGATAAGGCACCGCCCACCCCGGAGGCCAGGAGCCCACCAGAGACAGATGCGTGAGCAGCAGCCACGTTCAACTGCCCCTCCCCACCCCTGCAGGTTCCACATCTGCAGATCCCACCAGCCACACACCTAAACTATTAAGAAAAATAGCTG